ATAGATAGATAGATAGATAGATAGATAGATAGATAGATAGATAGATAGATAGATAGATAGATAGATAGATAGATAGATAGATAGATAGATAGTCACATATATATTTATTCTCATTTAGTCAGAGAGCATGGATCATCTTCAGTTCTTCTCTTTCTGTTTTGTTCCAGCATTTACAAAACTCTGCCAATTTCCACAATGCAGCTACAGTGTATGCAGGCAAACACAAGCAGTTAGTTCCATATCAGCAGACAAGCCCAGACAGACTGCTTGCTTACTTCTGTTCTCAGCTACTTCAAGCTGCCTGGCATGGCTCTCAGTCACCATCAAATAGTTCTCATTGGCTGACCCAGTTGCCATTCCTATACATTGGCTGACCTTGTTGCCATGTCTCTGCCAGTCATGAAAATTCTAACAATCATCACTAATACTGGCACTGATGATGTTACCTAGCTGGGTCATGAAACGTCCGCAAGAAAACAATCAAGATCAGAGAGCACCAAGGACCCCTCCAGGTCCACCAAATTAGTTAGCGGAGAAACCCGTTTGGAAATGAAAAGATGCTTTTTCCCACCTGCCCTGGTAGTCCTTTATATGAAAATATTAAAGTGTTGACTTTATCTACTATGTGTGTCTCTTCCCTTCCCCTTTTTTTTCCCTTTTCTCTTTCATATTTTATTATAGTGATGGATCATTTCCTTATGACTCTGTTCCTTGGCAACAAAATAGTAACCAACCACCAGGTTCCCTATCGGTGGTCACGACAGTATGGGGTGTGACTAACACATCACAGAGCCAGGTAAGTATCTTTCTGGGAATCTTCTCTCCATTGCTTTTTTTTTTTCCCAAGGGTGGTCAGATGGACTCCTCCCCTGCCCACAAAGGCTGAGCAATGTTTGGTCAGGGTGTAAGCTTGATTCAACAGGTAATTTTGCTCATGATGGAGTGTCCTATTGCTAGGGTGAAGCTGGGTGTCTTGCTGGATTGCTGTTGGCCAGTTTTAAGTAGACTATCTGGAAGATGCTGGTTTACTGGGACCTGTGCCGTTGAAAGAGATATGAGATATCTCTATGCTGGATGTTCGTTCTGAAATAAAAGTGCCCAGCTCACAAGTACTGTGTTTCTAGAATTGTTAAGGCATGTGTGATGACCCAGGGAGATGACTCAAACAGCTGGGAGTTCAAACCACCCCCTTTTTTTGCTCCAAATTTCCCCAAACGCTCCCATGTTTCTGGCAAGTCCCAGAGCAAAGTGATAACAAACCCTCACACAAAACCTCAAGCAGTCTCTGGCTGCAATTAATCCAGCCCAGCACTCTGTATACCAGGGCTGCACAGCCATAAATCCAGCAGGGCAAATCAAGGAGTTCAGAAAGCAAAAGATCCAGGTTATTAGTCCAGAGTGCCAGAAAGAATGCAAGAACTCTTGGAAAGTTCAAATATTGGTACTCAACTCTTCAGGAATTCCGTATTTGTTCCCGACAAATGCCCCTCCCCACAGCATCTCCTTAAGTCTCATTCCCAAGGTGTGCCTTGTGAAGATGGCCGGAGCACTCTTCTTCTAAGTAGCCTGCTCAATCTGCGTTGTTCATGCCTTGTCTCCAATCTCCGAGCTCTTGGATCAGGAAGGGGTGGTCCTTGCTCCTCACCTGTCTCTCATGTTCATCCTGCCCCTGTTCCTCCCAGTTTACAAGATGTCCTAATCCTGAAAGGCCCTGGCCTTCCCCATTTTTTTTCCTGAAGACAATGAAGCTGTTCCCTCAATCTCTGTCGGCTCCGGTTCCATCTCATCTTCCCCCACAGATTTAGGATCCGAAGGGGGCATGACAGCATGTCTCTCTTTGTAGAGAAGCACTCATTGATGGCCACGATATTTTTAAAGATCAAAAAGTCTGTAAGTCACAGAAGATTGGATTTTGCTCACCCCTGTTCTGTGGATGACCAGGGGATGGATGCAAATAGATCAGGCACCACAATCTTTGGGTCATCATTAAGTATTGAGACAAGCAATCGAGATTTGGATGCATGTCTTGTACAGATAATTCCTCTTTCCTACTTAGTGTGGCTTACTCTTAAAGCAGAAATATCTCCTAGACTTTTACTAAGGGTAAAACTTGTGACTTTGGACACGAGTTAATAATGTCCCCTTCTGAGAGTGCTGTAAGACTGGAAGTTGTTCTCTCTTCGGCTTGTCTGGAGTTCTTTTCTTTATTTCACAACTAGCTGATAACCCAGGGTTGCACAGGTATTTATGTATAGGGGGAAAATATCCAGACCAAACGTAATGTTTGGGTTTTCCCCCCTTACCAGAGGGAGCCCCCTATGGAGTACTTGAAGCCGTTACCATGGCAACTCCACTGCATTGTACAGTAGAAGCCATTTTACGACAATACAGTAGAAGCCAATTCAAGGCAAAGCAGGCTGTATTGTAACAGAATACACACCCCGAGGGGTGTTAGGGGTGTCTTACCCAACCCTGTGTAAATACTCACAGTATTTGTTTCCAGAGAGTAAGTCATCTCTGTACTAAGTTTGGTTGAAATTGCAGGCGGGTTCCAGAGTTATGCTGGAACATACACACACACAGATACAGAGCCAGATAGATGGATGGATGGATGGATGGATGGATTAGAGATAGATAGATAGATAGATAGATAGATAGATAGATAGATAGATAGATAGATAGAT